ATGATGCTGTTTTGTTTATAGTTGTTTAAGCAACTTAATTAATTATAATTGGTTTATAATTATTAAAAATGTAAGGAATTATAAACCTTATTTTAAACATTATGCACTTTTTTCACAGATAGTCGTGTTGTTTTATTGCTTTGAAGAAACGTGCATTAGTAATATTTTGCTCGATGCGCCCTCTAGCTTTTTTCCCCCCTAATTGAAATTATGCCTTTTAAATTCGAATATAATTCGAATATTGATAATATTGAAATACAAAATTCGAATTTAGTTTTTCAGCCATTTTGACAGCCCTGATGCAGTCTAACATGTTAATGCTTCAATAAAAAAAAAAAAAAAAAAACGCATTTTTTTTCACATAATTTCCCTTTATTCTACACCGCTCTGTCCCTTCTCCTAAAAACGCTCTGATGATTTCCTGCTTTTATGAAGCCCCTCCCTCAGAAATACGTGATGGGCTCTGATTGGTTAGCTGGCTCAGTGTGTTGTGATTGGCTAAACCGCCGAGTGCAGTCCAGAAACGTCACGCCCCTCAGCTCAGAATACGCTCTGGTTGTATTGTAAACAATCGCGTCGTCAATATTGCGTATCAATTTGAGCCCGATTGAGACGCAGAGAATATTAGTGAAGAGGATCGTACAGAACCCGTGCAAGCGCGGCTCTTAATGGTATGTTTTTTGTTTGTTGCCGTCTCATACTTTTAGATACGCTGTTATTTGTAAATGCTACTGCTTATATTCGCTTCTAATATACGGTTTTATCCTGATTAAAGCTGTAATACAGCAGAATACATGATTGCGTTGTAGCATTTTTGTAACCGTAAGAAGTGTTTACCAGCAAGTATTGCTCGTTACCACGGCAACCGTGTTTAACGCTTCTCATAGCTATGTGAAAAATATTTGTCTGTCTATACACATAAAGTGTATAATTGGAACACAGTTCATTGATGGAGCTGATGATCTGAGAGAGAGAGAGATGCAGAGCAGGGGACGCGAGGAACAGGATTGAGAACCGCTGCTTTAGGACATTGATTTTGAAACTTATGAATCCATTAGAATCGTTAGAAGACAGAATCGCGATTCATTTATGAATAGATTTTTTCGTGCACCCCTAGTTTTGACGGCGTGGCAACAACTCTTCCTCTTCTCTAAAGCAGCGCAGCATGGCCCCTCCCCCTTTGTTGCATGTTCCCGGGGGCGGGGTTTATGTAAATTTCAGGCTTTGTGATGTCACCAACCTGGGAAGTAGCTCATTGTAGTCCCTACGAGCCGTTTTTGTAGGCATTAAACTGCTATAATTTTAAAAGACCGTATCTCCGTTTGCATTGAATCTGTTGCATTGAACCTGTTCTGAAGTGGATTCGGTCACGTAATGAGTGTGTGTGTGTGTGTCTCAGAGCTTTGTTGATTACGTGTGTTGTGTGTAAACAAGACTAGCAAGGTCACTTCTGTGTCACACACTCGAGGGGGAGCAGGAATCTCCTTTAAACTCGAGAGCTCAGATTAACCAAGATCAGATATCTCTGCAGGGTCTCGGCGGATTGTGTGCGATGCATCTGATGAACTAATATGTTTTTGTTCGGTATTTTCGTCTGTCACAACAGAGAACAGCCTGATGTGTTTCTTTAGTGCGTATCATGTTGAATAATTACTGCTAACACAGCAGCACAGTGCATTCTGGGAGTCATTGCGCCACGTCCCTTTCTGGTGTCCTTGAAAATATATGGAGACAATATGTAGTAAATGGATATGTTTTTTTGTTTAAGAATTGAAAGATTGACACAGAAACAGGATTGATTAGCAGGAGTTAGTTCTATGATAGTTTCGTAACACTTTACAGTAAGGTAAACATTAGTTAACGTGAACTAATACTTAAATATACTTTATTATAACTAGGGTTGCAAAAAGGTGGAACATTTCCAGTAAATTTTGGAAACATTCCAGAAATTTTGGAAACTTTCCGGAAATTTTCCACCCCTTTGCAACCCTAATTATAACACTTATTAATCTTAGTTAATTTACTAATACATTATTAGAAGGTGGAGTCATTGTTGTGCTGCTTTGTTCAGGATTGTGGAAGCAGCAACAGATGGCTAACAGCTCCAGTGATTGTTCACAGATCAGCTGCTCATAAAGCTCCGGCTGATTTATTTGGTATGAAGCGGCCGCAGTTCGTCTGGAAGCTCGGCCCATCTTCGTTGTGTGCTGTAGAGAGGATGAATGATGCACGGCGAGTGATTGGTGTCATTCAGCGCCGCTCGTATGTTACACACCCATAAAACACTGCTGCTTGTATTTACGACGAGTCTGTGAAGGAATGGACGGCCTTAAACAAAGACATGAACTCACTGTGAATCATTTACTGCTGCTATTCAGGACTCTGCCGGTTTTCAGTTCAACAGTTTTGGTTACGGAAATTGAATCCAGATTATGAGTTTGATTTGCTCTTCTTGTACTAGTTTTACAGGACTCAGGATTTATATTGGGCAAAATACAGTAGAATTCAGAGAAAAAAATTCAGAATTGTGAAATGTAAAAAGCAAAACTT